CCGGCGAGGCTGGATATTCGCCTGATTTATGGGAAACGTGTATGCTGCCAATATAAGCGCACGATGATACGAGTCGTAATGATACGACTTCGTTTATCAACGTGTAGTAACTTCCGTAACTTATGGAAAACATGGATTTCTCTTCTTTCCGAGATACTTCATTCTCTGTTACACTCTCTCCCGCTCTTATTATTTTTATCTAAAATTAGCTCTTTAATCGTTGACTTTGATTTCTTATTCCACTATGTGTTCTTCTTATGCACGCACGAATTAAATGCTAAATTATTATTACCATAACCAGTTTACAGTTAACAATTACCATAAATTACCGGCTTGTCGTTATAATTGCCGTAAATAATTTATTATTATCTGCTCACATTATCTTCTCATGTGTCATGATACATTTATTCATGATAACGGATTCTTTTGATTCATTTTTTGATCTCTTACTTTGTAGCAATTATAATCTTATAACAAACTTGATTTTATTTCTTTTAAATAGGTATAAATTTGATTCTCTTTCGATTTTTCCTAAAGTATCGTAAATTTAAATGATGCTAAATTAGAACCTTGAATATTGATATCACTCAAAACGAATTTATCCGGTTGCAGATGATACATTTATTATTCATCGATTGGAAAACGTGTAATTTTTATTCGAATCTGCTATTCCATCAACTCTTTTCTCGTGCGTTTTATTTATTCAATATCTGAGCAAAATTAGATTGTTTTTATCGTAACCTACTTACAAAACTCTCAGCTTCTCGCGAATATTTTTGACGAGATCAATTTGCATTATTACACCTAAATACAATATATGTATCGTAGGATAATATAGTGTTGGAAGAATTTTGAGTTTCTCTGATTAATATTTACCACAATAAAAAATATTAATAGGTACACAGTAAAATTAATCGAGTATATTTTATATCTTATTGTGGTAGATATTAATATTTTTATTGTGGTAAATATTAATCAGAAAAATCTCGAATATAAAGTCATATCTCCAAAGTGGATCTTACAAATTACAAACTCGATCTATTTCTTCTCCTCCGAGGATTATATTTATAAACTTGACAACGCGATCTTAAAAGCAGATTCGTCGCCGAGTAACAAATTTTGAGCGATCACATTAATTTGCGAAAACCAGGGTGTCTAGCCGTTCTTGAAATGTTCTGGAATTGTGTTTCTTCTTTAAAAATCCTGAAAATGTATTTGTTTTTTTGTAGATCTTTTTGATTTTTTTTCGTTGCTTCTAAATGTTCAGTTGAGACTATTCGAGTAAAAAATATTTAATCTTCATAAATAATTCAATAAATTTTGTATTTACGGAAAAGGTGTTGCGCATAAGTTGGTTTATACACGGAGAGAATTTTTTTCTTAGAATTTACCCTGCATGAAAATCATGGTAATTGTGGGATGGAATTTTATAAGAGTTTCTCCGATTAAACATTTACCACAATAAAAAAATATTAATATTTTATTGCGGTAAATATTAATCAGAGAAACTCTTATAAAATTCTTCCAATACCATATTGTCACGATTCATGATTTTCAGGGTAAATTATAAGAGAAAATTTTCCCTGTGCATGTATTACAACATAATATATAAATTTGCATAAAAATTGTTACAATATTCGATTATAAATTTAGATAAAAAAATATTACGTCTTATCCAGATTTTGTTCGGAAGAAAAAAAAAAAATACGAATTAGATAAAAAAATATTACGTCTTATCCAGATTTGTTCGGAAAAAAAAAAAAAGAATTAGATAAAAAAATATTACGTCTTATCCAGATTTTGTTCAAAAAAAAAAAAAGAAAAAAAAAAAAAAAAAAAAAAAAAAAAAACGAATTACCGGCTTCAGTCGCAAAGATTCCAATCGTCGGTCCACGACGAGATTTGCGGGAAAAACGATTTCGTCTTCCTGCGGAGAAAAGCGTGTTGTGCGCCGCGTTCGAGCGCGGTACGAGCACGTTCCTCGGCGGACGGACGAATCTGCGAATCACGAACCTGTCTCCGATGGTTACCATGTACGTTTCCGCGAGTGTTGCGCATTTACAACGTTGTTATACGGGGCGCGGGCCCGCTCGACCGTGCGAGAAGGCCCCGTGTGCGCTTAATATGCGCGCGGGCGTAGAAGCCCCACGATGCGTGATTCAACGAGGGTTCTCACGAACGGGCCCTCTTCTCTCTCTCTGAGCTGAGGTGCGAGGAAACGAGCTTGGGATCGACGGAGGGGAAAAGAAATGACAAGAATCGTGAACGAGAAGAAGGAAAGAGAGAGAAATGGTTACGTTGGAGGAGTGCGCAACGGTACACGCCACATCGTTTAAGAATTCACGAATACTTTAAATGAGGGTAAATTCCTGGGCTTTTTATGCGGCTGTCACACGCACGACACGCCATAATGAGACGTCGCGAGAGAGAGAGAGAGAAAGAGTTGAATTCGAGAATGCTTGCGAGTAAATACCGTTCATCTCCTGATGATGCAACGAAACAGGGCCCGTGAATTATGCCTCACGCGCGACGAATAATAACGGTTTCGCACTGGCAGATGTCTCAATTAACAAATTTCTGTTCGATATACAATTTAATAGAGATTGCGTAAAAAATTGTTGCGTTTAATCTCACTTTTAGTATCGTTCGCGAAAGTTAAATTCAACACTCGTTATAGCTGGAGCGGACATTTCGAGCACACGTTTATGATCATGTGCCGTGCCCACGTGAATATTTCCGAGCAGGTGTTCCCATTCATTCACGAACGAATCGTAGTTCTAGTCGAAGCGAACGTGCCTCATAGCGAGATACTCGAGAATCTTTCGAACAAAATCAAATAGAAAGAAATACGATTTTTTTAAGTATTTTTTGTAGGACAGTATTTAATTCAAATAATTGAAGAAAAAAAAAACCATAATTGTTTTTATGAATTTGTTTGGAATTTTTTTAGCAAAAGATTACACGATAAATTATTTATGAAGCGAAAAATATGCATACAATCGACATTGCATTCTCACGGAAAGAGAGTATCTAAAATCAAATCTTTTGTATCACTTATGCAGTAATAAATTTCCCCGCGATAATTTCACAAGCTTTTATTTGAATATATTCATATATTTGTGAAATATCAGCCCTTATGTCCGAGGAGCCATTTCGCGAAAAAACGATTATATTCGATTTAATTTCAAATCTGTACTCGCGTCAAGTCCTGCCGAAAAGCGAACGGGTGGTCTGCCAGCTATTTGTTACCCCTTTGCAGAATGCGAATTGCGAGTAATATGTCGGAGGTCGACGAGAATAGAGGTCGAGAAGTCCCGCCGACACGTGTATGACATTTGCACACCGGCGTGGTGCGGTTTGACGTGGCTTCGCCCGAGACGGAGTCACGTGTGCGCGATCTCCTAGTTTTGCATTCCACCCGTGCACTCCCACGAGCAATTAGGCTCGTCTTCAGATTCCTCGCATGCTTTTCGCCGACTCGTGCGACGTGCCATCGCACGGACATTAGTGCGAGAGCCATATCTTGGAGACTCTCGAATTGGAATAATTCTCTCTCGAGATACCGTTGCGCATACATTCGCGTCGATCAGTGCAGATTTTTATTCTGCGCCGAGTCTTTCAAGACTCGAGAAAATATTTATGATCGAGAGTGTATCTTAATTTATTTGAAAATTATTTATCGCAAAAAATTTTATACGTAATATGAATCCAAACATTCCTAAAAATGTATAAATAATAATTTAGATTTATTAATTATATTTATATATTTTTAATACTTACCATAGTTGTATATAAAAAGATTTAGATGTTTTTAGCAGTTTTTTCGCGATCTTTGCGAGCTATTTTTAACGATTATAGATGGAAACTAATTAACATAATTCGATGTGTGCGAATGGTATCTTTAAAATATTTATATTACTTTTTCATATTTTCAGTTATGCATAATTGCATTCTTAATACCTGTTTAACCATCCATTTGCTGATTAGATAGCGATCATATGAAAAAACATCGAAAAAAGAGTAGAAAGTAAGAAGATTTATAGTTTATTCATAATGTATTCAGTAGCTACTCTTTTTTTTGCATACATTATTCCATTTCAAAATCATAGACAGCGTAAACACCTTAAATCACACTACTCCGAGAATATGTTAATGAACTTAGATAAGAGGTACTGAATACCTTTACCATTCTAATGAAGAAGATATATGTTTACATGGGGTCGGTTAACGGCCTGAATATCCAAAAATTAGATTTTTATTACCAAAACGGACGTTCTATAAGTACGAACGGATAAGTGCAAACTTGTGTTCTGAGTAAATTAATGAATCGATCATCGCCAAACAGTTTTACATACAATCCTTATTACAGTTCGTAGCCTCTGTTACGACTAATAGTTATTTGGTATTCGCGTTATGCTGTCGACATTGTTCGATGCACGTCACTGCGAAGCCGTTTGCATACATGGAATTCAATTGGAAGATAATGCATCTTTCGCTGCATCCTGTGCACCTCACGCATATGCATCTCTTTCTCTCTTTTTTTTTTTTTTTGTCGAAAGTGACTAACGTGCGCACATGTTATGCACACATGAAATACGACGGCGTTTTTCTGACTAAAAAAAATTAAAGTTACAAATCGAGACGATGACTTAACCATTTTGCGTAGCCATTAATTTGAAAATTAATAAATACATAATCTAATATATATATTTATATACATATATGTATAATTTAATGACAGAAGATAGAGATGAAATGTGTGATGAAAGAGAAATTCAAGTATTATGTGTTTTTTATGATTGAAATTCTCAGGGATATTTTTTTATAGAGAAAAATGTAGAAAAATCTGAGAATTTTATAGAGACTCAGAGAGAGTTTAAAAAATTCTTCTTTTGACAATTTTGCTCTTATATAGCAAAAAGAATGTTAAAATTTTAAAATTTATTTAAGTTTCCATTTTTACGTATATTATATATGTGTTTATATTTGGAATTGTTTAGGCCATTTTGCAAAAATCCTCGGTATCGGTGGACATCGAGGTGAGACCGAGGCAATTGGTGCCGGACACGAACTGCTTCATCGACTACTTGCCGCAATTGCAAATCATTGCGAGGGCCACTTCCGGCGCGCAGCCGATCTACACTCTCATGGTGCCGCTTGTCGGTAAGTGAAAATAAAAATTTAACATATACTATCAATGCGTTGAAGAAAGAAAGATCAATACTCGCGTCGTTTGACCTCCGGCTTGCCCGATCTTTTTTTTTTTTTTTTTTTTTTTTAATCGAAGGTCGTCAGTTATCTCGGAGGGATAAATGTCATACGAAAAGACTACGCATGCGAAATAATCATCGATAAATAACGAGGAAATTCATGTCTCTCTAGCACGACGCGTAAAAAAAAAATAAAGAAGAATCGATCCGTCGAATATCGTAAATTTGGATTTATCTCGTCGCGCCGAGTGTTCCGTTCGTCTCGTAAAATTCTCGTAAAAATCTCTCGCAAGTTGAAACGTGATCATTACATCGAGATTTTTTTTTAAATCAAATAAATATTTTTTATCGTAAATACTGCCGCATTAATTATATATTCATACACTTATCATTAAGATAAATAAAGTACGGATAGGTGGACGATTGAACAATGAATGTGTTGAGCAGAACAAATAATATAATTTTATATATTTTTTGATATTTATCTTGATATGTATCTTGACCTTTACTTTCTGTAGGCGTTGTATGAAACTCACAAAGCACAATAAATTTATGAATTTTAATAATATGCACGAACTTACTGTTGCTAGTTCAGTGACTCACTTAGCTTTTGTTTCGGAACTGTCTGGCTACAAGTACAATGAGATCACTTATTGAATATTGTCACTTTGTCAAAAAAATTTTTAATAACTTTTTTATTTTATTTTAATTCAAAGAGAATATACAATTTTTAATTTTACAAAATATTGACCAAAATGTGCTTTTTATTTAGAAAAAAAACTTAATTTTTTACTCTAAAAATACAATATATTTCAATTAATAAATAGTAATAAAATATTTTATAAGCAATTATTAGTATCAAAAACAAAAGTTCAAAAAGCATATATATTAATTCGATGAAAAAAAATTCTCTCGATGTACAGAAAATTTGATAAAGTGTACAGTGACAGGTAGGCCACACCTTGTCAAGGTTGTGTCCGGATAAGTTGTTACCAAAGAGAAACGACAGCTAGTCTCGGGAGGTCACGCCTCGGGTCAAAGCAATCGTCGCTACGCAAACATGCCTCGACTCACCTCCGTCCACGACGTTCACCGTCGTCGCCGCGTCGATCTCTGGCGGAGGATAGTTCATTAGGTCATCGTCATTACGCGTCACCTGTCGCGGAACTTCCCTCCCTCTGTCTCGTGAGAATGGATTGTCCCATTTATGCTCCCGCGCGTTGTCGCGCTTTGTCCGCGAGGTTCGAACTCCGACCGAGACACGGCCATCAATACTAAACGCTTGCGTCAGCTCCTGGACGACGCGGCGGAGGATGATGACGGCGAGGAATGTCAAGTCGCCGTTGATTCCTTCGCTCCAATTAGCGTTGAGCAATTTCTTTCTTGAGCGCCGCCGATCGCGCACTACTGTCAGAGTACGCTTTCTTTATTAACGGTCCCACGTCGGGATTCCGCTCCGAATCAATTCACCGATTCATCGAAGCCGTTAAATCTGGAGCACTTTGTAGCGCATACATATTGCGTTCCGTTAGCTCAAGTTAACAGCTGCGATGCGTTTATGTCGATGAATGAGATGTAAATATGTAATTTATACAAATTTTTAAATTTCAGTTGTGTATATTAATTTTTTTCTGGATGTCATTTATCAATTTTTGGAATTGACAGGATTTTAATGTAATGTCAATTGTCCGAGTATTTAATGTTGAAAAAGTGAGATTAGTCTTCAGTCAATTTTCGATATGCATTGCACTCTAGTTAAGTCGTATGACATTTACATCATTAAAATCGTTAATTATTTGCTTCGATGAACGTTGTTTGGGGATTGTTTAGGCGTTGGAATCCAGATAGCGGTGATCATATCAATATCGTATCAGGAGAAATAAGAAAACGTATGTACAATAATTTTAAATTAATCAGGAAATATCGTTTAATAAATAAACAAATTCTTATTAAAATTCTTATTAAAAAAGAAGCTTATTATATATTTCTTGGAAATACGATAATTTTTTGAAATTATACATCTCTTGAAGCTAATAATCTTTCTTGAAAATAGAGAAAGATTTCTTTCTCATAGAAGAGAATTAAATTCTCGGTCGGGATTAATTTATTGAATACAACGACGGCAATCAGCGATGGAACAAATCACGTGTCACATCAATCACATTCCAACTGGGGTGTCTTTTACGGGGATACGGCGATACGAAGACGGACGCTCGTTTCTGTCAATCGGCTTACGATGATGACGACAACGATGACGATAGGGTTTATACGACCGGTTGTTTCTTTTTTTTTTTTTTTCAATCGCGGTTTATAGGCACTCGCTACTCAACGAAACGCAATCAGCGATAAATTTACAATTATCTACGACGCGGTTGACATTTTCACGGTGCTTTACAGTAAATACGTCTGGAGTTATGGCTGTGACGACAGGACAGACATTCGGAGCATTTATTGCCTTGCTCGTACATCTTACTTACTAGAATGTCTAATCTCTCGTTGATGTGTTTATTTCGCGTATCGTGAAAAGTAAAAGACTCTGATACTGGAATATCCCGCAAAAGAAGCGGACTTATCAATTATTCTCGTTATCTTGAGATCGTACATTCGCTCTGCGCGATTTTCAAATAATTACACTTCTCAAAATAATTAAGGAATAAGAACTTTGTCTTTTCGAAACAAAGTTACAGTCATTTAAAATTTGCCTATCTTTTGGACAATTTTGTTATTTCTTAATTATTTTGAGGAGTGTATTATAACATCGTAGAAATAATTTTCATCGAGATTGAATTTTTAAAAAATAATTAAAAAGTCACGTGTCAGTTGTAAACGTGTAAGAAAATGATTTCTTTCTTAAGTATCGAGTTTGATAAAATTTTTTAAAAAATTGGGAAAAATGAAACGCGCGGCACACACTTGCTTCGATTGGAGACAAGACTGGTGTCAGGGTTCAAGGCCGTTGGAAATCGAAAGGGTCCATCAATCATCATCGCTATCGCCAATTAGCGTTGATCCAATCGTCGATTCAGCAAAATTGATTCACGACGCCAATAATGAGCACGCGGTATTTTGCGGAAGCTTACGTCACTGTTGTCCGTCCTATTTTGACATGGATTTTTTTACTTTGTCGATACCCTGACGGGAAGAGCTTCGAATGCCGAAGCGTTTGTTAGGCGAGGTCGCGATAGGGCAAGGACAAATGTTTCGCCTCGAGGATTTCGATGGCAAAAGTAAGCATTATTATCGCCGTCATCGATTAGTCATGGCTCATCATATTCGTTAGGACTACCTGATTTTACGAAAAATCTCGCGCGAGCATAAAGAAAATTTTAGGATAAGCAAAAGAAAAAAATAAGTCGGCAAATCCTTAAAAATTAAAATGCAAAACCATGCAAAAAATATATTGTTAAGTAGAGAAGTAATAAGATTGACTTCTACTATACAATTATATTTTTTGTACGCAGCAAAGTTTTAGTATATTGCTCATCACAAAAAGCATTAATTATTATATACGTCTATATCCCAGCTAAGGGGAATGATTTTTTTTATCGCGCAATGATAAACGATGTCTGCAAGCCTAAGCGATAAATAATACCGTTTCCTTGAATTCTCCCTGCTTTGCCAGTTATTCTTTCTATTTCCGTCCCTCTGTTTCGTAAACTTTATCCACCACCGCCCTTGTCTGTACGTGGGGGTCTGGAAAGAAGATAAGGCTGGCAGCCAGTTAATTTATCGAGTCGGGGAAAGTTTGCTGAATCTCTTATTTGCATTTTCCGTAGATTGCTTCTCCGCGCACGTCTATGCGGCAATCTGTGGCGAATGGAGTCGAAAAAGTTCCCCCACAGCATCCACAATAATCTTCCTTGCTAAAAAAAACGCGTCTGTTCATACAGAAGAGATAAAGGATATAAAGGATGATGCGGCAAATAAAGTGCGAGATAGAAGTCTGAATTCATCCTTCTATTTATCTTCCTATTCATCTTTTTCGACGTCGATTTGAAGCTTCAGATTCTAGAGTTCTGTTACACGTGTCAAAATCGTGTAATAAAAATTCTATTACAAGGATATCACATGAAGTTTTATTGATTGACGATAACTCATTTTCTTTACGCAAACGTATTAATAATAAATAAAAAATTGCTATTATATCCTCGTGAAGGAAGAATCTTCGTCTGCTCGCTTCGCGCGTTTCTCCCTTTCATTTTTATCGTTCGTACGGAGCCGAAAAACGAAAGTGCCTCGATGCAAAAATCGGCCGGCTCGGCTGCCCTTTGACCTCGTCGGCCAGTCGGTCGACCACGGACCCGTCTGGCTCTCCAAGCTGCTGGCCAGCAACGAGTTGTGAGCGTTTCACAGTTAGGAGGTTCTCACGGCTCATGAATGCATGTATGCGGCTTGAAACGCCCGCGATTGGCGACGACGTTGCATCTCAGCTATGATCGGTACGTGGGCGATATCGATACCCGATGAGATTGGGAGACTTTTGAAGCTTCTCGTATAGTTGTGTGTGATGATGATGATGATCCTTTGCCTTACCGACATGTTGCCGTCCCATTTTCCTCAATCTTGTTCTCAATTACGTGCGTGGCAGCGACATTGATAGTCATGGGGATACTCCTTCCGTCAACGCTTTCGAGAGATAAATATTCATCTTGAATGGTGAATTATTATATTCAGATGATGCAAGGATATTCATATTAATATCTTAATTTTTTTAAGTGTAAAAGAGGCGATAAGAACCAAATTCGTTGGGATAACGCACTGTCATCCGCGATTTGGCTCTTATTGCCTGTCTTACACTTTAAATTTATATTTATATTACAGAGCTTTGTTAAATTCTTAATTAATTTTTTTAATATGAGGATATTCTTATATCTCGTGTTTAATAAAATGTGAAAAATTAATTATAAATGTAACAAGTTTCGAAAAATATATGAAAATTGTAAAAATGGTATAAAGTCGAATCATAATGAACGCTATAGATTGATATCTCTCGTCATAATTTTTCTTTTGTATTTCTCTTTCACAGATATGAATTTCTCAAGAACTCACGCCTTACTTTCTTGCGAAATAATTGACTCAACTACGAATTAATCTTGTTTCCGGTACATCCACGCGTGAGACGCGAGTGTTTTAAGACGCCGCGTGTTTAACGAGCGGAAATATCTTTTGTTGCAGTGCTAAACGAACTCGAAGGTCTGGCACGGGGCGCCGATGCGAGAGATTGTCCTCCAGCGTCGAGGGCGGCTCTGAATCCCGAACATGTGGCGCGAGTCGCCGAGAGCGCAAAGGCAGCTCTGGCCTTCGCGAGGAGCCGAAATCCGGCGATCCGGTGCTTAACCACAAGAGGTACCGTTCTCACATCCAGCACTTTTACGTTGGAGGAGGACGTCGACAAGGTAAGCGAAGAAGAATAAAGAACAGAAACGTCGGCGAATTCGATACGCTTACATTTTTGGTCTCTCGAGTAACTGTATTTGATCTTCTCCGAGGGGGTATTTAGAAGGCAAATTTGCTGCATCGATCGTTGACCGGGAATAGGATTTGCGCGATGTGTCCTTGTCAGATTTTTTGATATTTTTCTTTGTTCGAACGACTTTAGAAAAATTCGTCGAAGTTCACATTGTTCTTCAGCGTCTCGCTGTGTATCTTCATTTGTCACATCAATCATTTTATATTACGTTGAGCAGAATAATATGATACGAAACACGCTTCGACAACTGATTTGAGTATGTAAATTGTCGAGAGGTCGTTTTATACATTTTCAACGCGACTTTATATCTCAACGCCTGCAGCTCGTAATGACAGGCGACACGATAAAGCGAAACGATTTTGACGTTCAGCTGATGATAGGGATTCTAACACGGTATATTATATACCTTCAGCACAGAGTAGTCGTTTCGCAAATCAATGGCAGCGAAGAAAATTAAGGCGCGGTGCTCATTGAAGCGCGAATGTTATGATAATGAGCTAGAACACCCATGAAGATACTGATCATTTTTCGCTATTTATTTATCTTTTTACCAATAACTATATGTCTCAGTTTGGGGATTCAATTTGAATGATAATCTCCGCGACAAATTCGGGAGTAAAATTGCAAACGCAACTATATACCAAGTTTATCGGAATAATATATTCGGAACTTGGTCTTGTTTCAGGATGGACTGACACGCAACGATGACAGAATATTGACTACGTGCCTCAGTCTTTGCAGGAGCATCAGCAAAGATCAGGCAAATGCAGGTAAGAATATTTGTCTAGAGAAAGGTTTTCAAGCTAAAAATATCTTCATTTTATTATCTTTCTTGATTAACGTGATAATTAATTACACCAGACACTATTCGCGAAATGCTGCTACGATTATTCACAACTTTATTTTAAATCCTTCCAAGAGACGAAGATACTTTTTTTTTTATCGAGACGCAATACACAGTTGGCTCTAAATTTATCAAAGATAATCCCTTCTTTTTATCAAAAGAGATTTAGAGGCAATATTTCGCTCAGTTTAAATTGATCAAAAAGAGTACCTAAAGAAAGAAGGATAAATGCGAGAGGATCGCGCACAAACTCAATAAAAAAATTTTCGGGGAATCCCGAATCTTTTGCTCCAGCAGAGGAAGGGCAGCCGCGACGTCTGAGACGGGAGGTGGTTCTGCTCACAGAAGATCGGAACCTCAGGGTGAAGGCTCTGGCCAGGGACGTACCCGTGAGGGAGGTGCCCGACTTCATGGAATGGGCTGTATTAGGTTGAGGCGGCATTAAGTGATCGCGACCAATTCCAATCCTCACTTGACAAGAAATCTTCCGTGTTCCTATCGCGCGAGCTCGACCAAACGTAACGAGAAGAAGTGCAAAGACAAGTAGGAGAAAAAGAAGACGAAGCTAGCAGAAGAAGAGGGACGCTCGTCATCGTTGACGAGCAATTCATTGCTATCTTCGTCGCGGATCTGCTTCGTGTCCGATCGACCGTCAACTGTGCGCGCACAACGCAGTTGTCATCGTGTAAGTTCGTCCTAAACAAGGTATTTAGATTATTTTCTGATGATACTCTTTTTCTTCAATTTTTTTGTATCCCACCATGAAGCGAAACCACAAAGTGCGACGCGAATGAGAGCAAAATCTAAGATAGGGGCAGAGGAAAAAAGGGCAAAGCGCGCGCGATCGTGTAAAATTGCATTGAATGAAATACGGTACTATCGGATAGGAAAAAAGAAGATGGCTTGTCGTTTCGCTTTACCGGAAACGCGAGTCATTCGAAGGCTTCTCTCGAGCGTGACATTTCCTATTCTCTAATTGTTCCGTTTATCGTGAACCGTATATCTAGAAACGTGCAGGCGTACAAATCCCGAAGAGAGCCTTTTCGCATGAGGATGACTCGCGTGATCTGAAAGAATGAGTGTACGGCGATGGCGACAGACAGTTAACACCAAAAGATAATAATTGCCGGAGGATGTTGGACGTTTCGAGGAAAAAAGTAAAGAGAAACGGTATAAAAAAATTATTTTAAGGTTGTTATCACTTTGTAGATTTTTTTTTTATCCTATCGCCTATTGGCGGCTGTATAATCATTTTGTATAATTTTGTTCGCTGGTAGTCACTTTGTTCATCGAGTCGTTATTAAATGTTTTTATACATGTGAGACGATCGCAAAACTTTTATCGCCTTTTATCGTCCCGCGTGACATTTTCCATGAGGGAATTATCCCCTTTATTTTTTCCACGTTAAAGAGTCATTAACATCATTACCTTTAAGCTATCGTGAATTGCTAAGGTGAATTGTTAGATTTATTTTCAATGAATGACTACAATATGATCATTGAAGATATCGTCAAGATTGAATAATCGATCCACCTTAATCGTTTGTTAATTGTATAATTACGTTAGAAACGATTAAGAAAAATGCTTATCTTCGAAAATCAACTTTGTCAATTTTAGCAAGATATGCGATTCAAAAAAGCGTATGTTCATAAAAGAATTAGATCCAATTTTATTATATATATTAATATTTTTGATATTGATATAATTTAAAATTGAAATTTATTTTTAAAATATGAATTATTAATTAATGTACATAAATATTCAATAATTACAAAAAATTTTCGTTTTTTTTTTTTTTTTTTTTTTTTATTGAAAGCATATATCTTGCGCGTTAATTAGATCGTCGATTTTTCAAGAATGAGTCTTCCTTGACATCATTTTTAATGAATATACATGTGCAAAATATTCACATTGCACAGTTTAACAATATTTACAATTCACCGATTTAAGACCTAACGCAAGAAGACGACAGCAGCTGATTATTCCAAGTAGGAAAGTATGACACCCGCGATTGTACAACCATATACAGTGTGTTCTTTATAATAATAATTAAAGATACTTTATCGATGAACGGAGATTAAATGTATCCTGCAAATGTAACACGATTACAAACATTCCGTGTCGGAAACTGTTTGATTGATATTTTTACCATCGAGTTTAAGTCATTTTGGGCGTGATAATAAAATCAGGTGATTACGAGCTAGATAATGAGCGCGAAATAAGACTCGCATTGACGGTTCTTGCAACGTCGAGAGATCGCTTCGTTCTATGAATCCTCGCAAATCGCGATCCGCGTTTTTAATATTTCCCTCGATTATGTCAGATATGTAGCATATCTTTCGGGAGAGATACGCTTTCGGAAGCGCACAGTGGTCGAGACATTCGCGTGCTCTATCAGCAAAAGGAACTGCGGGACCGAGACTAGCGAACACGATGTACTATTTTTCAACAGAGAGATGAGATAGTTACTTAATGCGTTTACTCCTTAGTATATTAAAATGTGTGCGTGAGAGAAAAAGAGCGAGCGAGAGAGTGAGAGAATGTTAAAAATTAGATTAATGGAGGACGGACAGTCAACGAAAAGGAAAAATGAAAAAAAAAAAAAAACATTCGACATATTGAAAACCGTATCTGCGATAAATGTCGACGTCGCGTCGAAAATTCCTGCGAATTAAATCGAATCGATAAGTAGAAGAAGAAGAGCCCACCCACCGGCAGAGTCCGGGCAAAATCATTTCGTTACACCGTGATGTTCCGCTCGAGAGGCCGCGTCGTTCGGGCAGAAGAAAATCCTCGTCGCGAGTATATAGTGTCGAGGGTCTGTCGAGCGGTATTTTATAAGAGCGCGTATATAAGAAGAGGGATATTAAAATATATATCTCTACTACATTTTGATCTCTTTGTGAGAAAATTGTCCCCTTTTTCCTGAAGAAACATTATGTGTTCGTACGGACTCTACCGCCACTACTTATGGATTTAATTTGTCCTTCCACGTCGAGGAAGATGCGCGAATTCGCGGTGCAAATTCACCATTTGAACGAGACGCGTCGCGAGAGATGAAGTAGCGTTCGACGATACTTTATATAGGATTTAGGATACATTGGGAATAAAGAAAGAAGAGAGAAGTGCGAACTCTCTTCCTTGTTTGTGAAGTTATTCGCATCTATCGTCCTTCGACGTGTTTCGTTTGCTTTGGCGTTTTTTTTCCTTTTCTGTCACTTTTCTCCTCTCTCCTTCACCCTTGTCCAGTTTTTAGCTCAATTTTTTATGCGAACCTTCACGGCGAGATCGGTCGAGTACAATCGGCCAATATCGATGGACGATTTTGACAAAGCCCGCTCGAAGCACCAACGATGTACACTTGTCTTATTGTGTTTCACTAATTTTTAAGTATAGCCTTTCGTAGCCTTTTTAATGCGCGCGCTCGGTCGCCATAAGCGGTTGATATAATTAATCCGTACAAGAGAGAGAGAGAGAGAGACAGAGGGAGTACAGGTGTGTTTGAGATGGGATATGGGATATGGATGAACAGGCGAAATCGATTGCGCGAGTTTATTATGCAATCGTGAATAGCAGAAAAATGATCGGGAAACACTTTTTTTCCTTAGACCGATCAATCAACACGCAAAAAACACGTTGTCAAAATTCGAGTCAGATTTATCTCGAGATGAATGGTTCTAGAGTTGAAATCTTATAAAATTTATTTAAAAAATATAATTTTATGAAAAATTATTTTATATCGAGATGAAAAGATTCTTATATACGTTATAAAAAAAATAAATGTTAATATTGATTGTGTCAGATAATTTTTTGATGTCATCAGGGATGGCTTTTCGACTATCGAAGAAAGTGTATATTGAGATGAAAAGATTCTTATATACGTGTTATAAAAAAAATAAATATTAATATTGATTATGTTAGATAATTTATTGATGTGATCAGGGACGGCTTTTCGACTATCGAAGAAAGTGTTTCTCGATCACCTCCGATATTTATGATACTGTTGATACGAGATAACAATCAGGGTAGTTTGCAATTGTGTACTCCGGGCATATCATATAGCGTTTACTCTATATCATCGCAATAGCTCTCTTCTGCAATAGACGTAGCAGTGCAATAGACACTCAATTCCGCGATTAAGCCACCTCGATAAGACTCTATCCGTCCCTTCCCGAGTAATCACGATCCATTTTCGCTGTTTCGATGTAATATATATTCTTCACTCGATTCACACTCCGGTCTTTCAACCTTGAAATTACATATGTCGCTCCTCCGATCGGCTTGCGCGATCGAATTCACCCAGTACTTGAGAGAAAGAGAGAGAGAGAGAGAGAGAGAGAGAGAAAGAGAAGTTGACAAATGCCTGAATATATAGGTAGACAATTGTGACGTAAAGATAGACACGTCATGATTTTTAGAACCGGATTTATCTCGGACGCGGACGCGTTTTGCAGCGAAAAGTTTTTTCTTGACGATCTCCGCTTCCGAGATAACTCCGTAAAATATACCTATATCTATATTGTATATAGGTATATATGTATAATTATACGTAATAATACACACGCGTTTTATATATATAATTATACATATATATATACACACAGATACACTCCCATTCGTCACCACGATTTTACGCTAGATTCTCGCAATATTTCTAATAAATCTATGTACTTGCATTATTATGTGACGAAGCAAAAGAATGCGATTCATTTGTATTTCGTCTCAGGAAAAGATATTTGCCGATTAAAATGCGATACAGCGACGATGAAGGGAGATGACGAAAACTGTGGGGATGATATGCTACGAAAGAGCAGAAGTTTTAGATTAATCGTTTATTACACATTATAAAAAATGTCGCTACTAATAGTGTTACCACTTTGAATATTCAATAAAACGTTGAGACTAGCGTTATTACGTTATGTACTTTATTCAACAATTATACGATATTTAGTATACAATATTATTCTCTCTATTGCTTATTACGAGGGAGGTGACCTATCACTAAAATCCATTCCACACAATTATTTTAAGAAATTAATCCTTGAAATTACCAGGTTCCAGGGGACGCAGCGTGATGGTAGATAATAAGTGCAATAATCTGACGAATTTATTTTGAAATCCGATACATTGCATTTTTCTATCAAGATCGTTTTTATATGCTCTTCAACTCGTTGACGAGATTTAGACTTACGCAAAATGCAATTCTAGTCGCGCTTAGTTGATCTTGGCCTCTTTATATCCCCGCGAAGGTTCGCAGATGGTGTTTCTCTCTAGATGCGCGAAGGTCGTTCAAGTCATCTCGGATTTTTTTATCTCTAGAGAGATGTAAATATATTTTTCGCGAAAACCACGAGCACCGTTAAGGCACTCGTGTACGCACGCGCTTCTTGTCACAATCGACAAATTCCAATATTCATCACGATTCACCGTCCAAAGTGCGCGCGAGTCGTGCTTTATGTCTCTAATCATCCACAAACGACTTTGTGTCGCGGATCGCGATTTTCCTTTAACTGTTAGACTAACGGTCGTTTCTGTCAGATTTTATCTGGGGAATTATATACATTTCTCGGGGCTTAGAGTATTAATTGGCGCATTAATTGTCTTGGAAAATGTAATTTTTATGATATCTTTTGAATCTGAATCTCTCTTCAGTCAGTGAACCAAAGGATCAAGGAAGGAAAAAAGATAATTGCTAAATCAATTAAAAATTAGATATATAAGTAGCGATTTTTTTTCAAATGAATGAGATTGTCTCTGAAATGTATACCGTAATAATTAAGAGAATTATTCGGTGGGATGAGAGAGTTTCGAGACGTCTTGGCGATCAGAGTGACGCGGACAGTACATTTCCGGTTGAGCACAGTCAACAGATGCAACGAGAGAAGCAGCACGTTCTCCGTCGAGCGAGAGTCCAGCAAGATCCGGCTATTTTTACCTGGTCAACCTTGAACTTGCTGCCGCTGCCATCGCTGCTGCAGGAGCAGCAGCAGCAGCAGCAGCAATGATCTGATCACCAATAAAGGGACTTATCTAATTCTGAGAAAGGCAATCGCCTGTCGCGAAGGTAAGTACTTACGTTTTATTCTCATAGCCGCTGTACTTCGAGAGTATACATAATGCGATGTAATAGCTTATCGAGAGACACACGTGCACATAGGGAGATGATCGCGGAACCACTTAACACTTTGCATTATAATGATTTTTACGATATAATACATATAAAAATTTAATATTACATTCTTTTATTTATGATGTTCTATTTGTAATTTTTCTATTTTATTTATGTACTATTTTTTCACTATAATGTATATAATTATTGTGACAGATATATTTAAATGTTTCTTTCTGACTTTGTTTTTTTCTTAATTTTGATAAATTTAGAATTAATAAGCGTTATTCTTTTTTTTTCTAGTCTCTTTGACATTTAGTTACACCATTTTTTTATATAAATTATGTATGATTTTTCAGAGGTATAACTTTCGAATTTGTTATAAGTTCGACCGAGTTGTGCGAACAG